CACAGAGTAGGCCGCCTCCGTATTCCATCTGCCAGCCAATGTCGCCTGGCGACTACTCAGAGGAGGGCCTTTTCTGTGGCTGCCCCGGCCCTTTGGAATGAGCTCCCCGCGGAGATTCGGATCCTCTCCCCCTTTCAGGCCTTCCGGACGGCCGTGAAGACCTGGCTGTCCCAGCAAGCCTGGGGTTGAGTCCCCCCCCTACTCGGAATTGCTGGGTCTATTGTGCTTTTAAACTGTTCATATTGTCTGATTGTCTTTGTCTTACTTTTTGTAATTTCCCCTCCCTTGGTTTTGTTCAGCTGCCCTGAGTCCCTTCGGGGAATAGGGTGGCCTACAAATTGAATAAACTCCAAACTCCATACTACTACTACTATAATTGTAGTATGGTGATACCTGTGGTGTTGTAGTACAGTAGTTCTAGAGTTACACAAAAATTTCCAGATGTATTCTTTTGAACCTTTCTTTCATCCGCCCTAAGCCTTTCTACTGACAATGAAATTCATCTCTTTGGTTAATTCACAATTTAATTGCATCTCTCTCTGTTTAGTTAAAAGAGGTTCAGTTCTTTTCTTTTTACGACCTGAACTCTTTTTCCTAGCTAATTTATTGCAACCTCGCTTTATTTTAATGGACTATGATTACAGATACACGTAAGATATAAGGTAGGCGTGTTTGAACATGTCATATATGTGAAAAAGAACGATGTTAACAGAATCCAGCAATTAAAGTAATATAGTTTACCAGACTGTGTTTTATGCCTTTTTTTTTTTTAATTTTAAGACTATTTTGGAAAAGTTCTTTTTTTCTTCTCACTTTCTCCTTTGGTGCATGGGATTGAACAACTCAGTCAAATGCTGTTTCTCCCGTTACAAATACTAATAAAAAGATCCGTTCAAGTTCTGTCTGCTGTAAAAGTGCCAATTAAGTTTGAAGGGGAACAAAGGGGAAGTAAACACTGATATGGCTTTCATTGGGTCTGTCAGCTTGGAGAATTTTTGCTTCTTTTCCTTTTGAGAAAGAAGTTCTTGTTATCTGCTGCTCTGTTCCTGCTTTGGTTCAATACACAGTTTCTCCCCAAGTTTTCTGATAAGTTCTGCCAGGTCTTCTGTGTTCTGTGATTTTTCTTCAAGGAGCTCATATCGAAGGCTTGAGATGTCCTGTTTAATTTCTTTCAGCTCACCTGTAAAAGAGAAAAGATCAAAGGCTTAGAAACATAGGAAGCAAGGACCTATTTTCCAGAGGGAAGCTAATAAATAAAATACCAGTAATGAAGATACAGTAATGATGGGATGTGGTGGCTGAGTGGCTAAGACGCTGAGCTTGTCAATCAGAAGGTCGGCAGTTCAACGGTTCGAATCCCTAGTACTGCGTAATGGAGTGAGCTCCCGTTATTTGTCCCAGCTTCTGCCAATCTAGCAGTTCAAAAGCATGTAAAAATGCAAGTAGAAAAATAGGAATCACCTTTGGTGGGAAGGTAGCACACAGTGTTGTGTGTGCCTTTGGCATTTAGTCATGCCAGCCACATGACCACAGAGATGTCTTCAGACAGCGCTGGCTCTGAAACAGAGATGAGCACCGCCCCCTAGAGTCGGTTACAACTAGCACATATGTGCGAGGGGAACCTTTACCTTCATGAAGGTAATCAAACCTTTACGTTATTATTATTATTTTTTAATAACAAATCTTGTTTTTCAAAAGAAGTAGGTTATGTTTTCCCCTAGAAATACAGAATCTTTCTCAGGAAGAGAAATAGGTTTAACGTTGGCTCTCGAAGCAGAGCTAATTCTGCCACTATTTCAAATACCTTCTGCAGTATTTTATAAACGTCAGCTATATTGATATGAGGATCCTCGTCCTTCCCAAAGTTGCTTTTTCAAGAGGCAACTGGAGTTTCTGTTTTTTCTTTGAAGACTTTTTGCTTCTTATCCATGAAGCTTCTGATCCAAGAAGCGAAACATCTTCAAAGACAAGCCAGAAAGTTCAGTTGCCTCTTTTAAAAGTACCTTTGGGACAACCATGACCTGGATGACGAAGAATTTCCATAGGCATCCTTGTCCTTCATATCTACAGTGTATGGATCCCTGACAGGAGCTATTTTTAACTTCATGGTGGGATTTTTTTGGCATCAGGTTCAAATACCATCTTTGTTTCCAAGAATGCTATGAGATATGACACACATTCTTTTTTTTTTACAGTGGGAAGTTTTAGCCCTGCTTTGGTTTGTCATACTTACAAATGATTGTTTGTCCTTGACTTACAACCATTCATTTAACAACCATTTCAAGTTACAATGGCACTGGAAAAAGTGACTTACGCCTGATCTTCACACTTATGACCATTGCAACATTCTCCTGGTCCCATGATCAAAAGTTGGGTACTTGGGAGCCAGGGTGTATTTACAATGGTTGCAGAATACCGGGCTCATATGATTGCCATTTTGACCTTCCCAGCTGGTTTCTCTAATCATCAAAGTCAAATTCAAAGATGGATTTGCTTAACAATCAGATGATTGACTTAATAACTGCAGTGATTTGCTTAACAATTGTGGCCCGCCAGTGGCTAGCGGAGCTGGCAGTGGAGTCGAACAGTGAGGAGGTTGGGGAGGAACATGGGCCAGTCCTGAAGGCTGGGGAAGACGAGGGCTCTGCTTTGTAGTCAGAGGTGGGGCCAAGGCAGTGGTAGGTTGCAGGTGGTATGCCCCGGTATGGGCATACCGGTGCCTCCCAGGAGCACCGGGTACCATTCCGGTATGGTGCTCCGGAGGGCCCACCTGCCCACCCTCCTTATTTGTATTTGAGCTCTTCAGCGCTTCCGTGTACATGCATGGAGTGTATGCCACCTGCGCAATGCTCCNCATGTATATGTATATGCGTATGCATATGCGTTTGTGTGTATGTATGTATGTGTATATATTCTTTTCTGGAGCACGATCTTGCGTGCGCATCAATGCCAAAAACTGGCCTGCACATGCATGCCGGCCAGCTGATTGTCAGGTGCACATGTGCGCTAGAACTCAGAAGTTTTCCGGAGTGTGGCCCCGATGAGCACATGCACGTGTTTTCCCGCAACCTTTCCGGCACTCGGTGCCAAAAAGGTTCGCCGTCACTAATCTAAAGGAACAATTATTTTTAGTGCTATGCAGAAAAAAAATATCTCTAATTTTCATTTCTAACTCTCTCTCTCATGAAAGAGAATTTCCTTTCTAAAATAATTTCAGAAAAGAAGTCTGGAGCATTTGCAGCTGTTTAGTTCTAAAGTCCACAATATACGCATCAATTTCTCTTTTTTCACATAAAACCATCTCTTCGGCAATCTACAGTTCTTCTGATTTCTCATACTTCTGTTAAGAAGACGTAATAAAGAAACTTTATCCCTGCAGAGCTTTCTAATTCAAAGTGATGGAAAGATCAGGGCCACTAGCAATAGCAGGGACCTCCTACAATAAACTGCCACTAAAAGAAAGTCAGAAATAATTCTCGGTCCCTCTGAAAGTAAGACATAAAAAGCAGAAGGCAGATTTCATGAGGTAGTTGCATTAAATTGTTTCAGTGTAGTAATATTTCAAGACTGGCAGTTAAATTTTAAAAGGCCCAAGTGAAATTACGTTGCATTACAGTCCGTGGACACGTGGTGGCAGGGTGCACAAAGTCTGCACATTTTTCAACTGTCTAATAGTCTAAAAACTGGCTTTAGACAATGGTAAGTATGCTGCCCCATTTCCTGAAACATGAGGGCAGCCGTGTAATAGCTCGTGATTTTACTTGCTGGAAGATCACATCCCGAGGCAGCCATTGTGTTGAATGGTATAGGAATAGCACCTACTTCCTCCTCCAACTCAAAACTACAGAAAAATATATGTCATTCTAGTATGTGGCAGCTGGTTTACCTGATTCATCTCAGCATCCTCCTGGAAACCTGTCGCGTGGCAAAACAGTATTTTAAAAATCCACGTCTTTATTCTGAGGGAGAGGTACAGCAGAGATTTGGGGCTGGGAACCAGATTGAAAGGGACAGGAAGTGTTCTGCCTTCCTCAAAATAAGAAAACCAGAGTTTCGCTCTGGCAAACTTCCATTCTACATCAGCATCATCCTGGAAGGCAAAGAAAACAGTCGCGGCTACGTGAAACAGTGGGACACAGAAGAGAATATACACTTATTTAAAGAGCTGCAGATTTGTCTAAACACCTACAAATGCTATCTCTGTCTGTCTGTCTCTCTCTCTCTCTCTCTGTGTCATCTCTCTGTCTCTCTTTCACACACTCTCATACAAACACATGCACACACATTTTTTTTTTAATATATGTATGAGCAGTGCAGTGGCCTAGACATTAAGGTGCTTGCCTCACATTCAGGAGGTTGAGAGTTCAATTCTAGGCAGCAGCAGATATTTCTCTTTCTGGGCTCTAAGAGAAAATATCTGCTGTGAACTGCATGTAGGTGTCAGGGAAGGGCATCTAGCCAGTAAGCGCTTAGCTCCATTCAGTCGCCCCGACTCCACCCCAATGCCAGGGATTACAAAGTTGCAAAAAGAAATAAATAGATGCCATTCTTCAACATCAACATTTTCTCAGGGTGATCTATGTTAGGTTTTTGGAGCTGACTATAAATATTGTTAAGTAAACACATGAAGTGCAAATACATGAAATATGTAATTAATTAACAATTATTAAAAAGCACACTACTAAAATAATAAAATAAAAGAAGCAACCTGAATGCAAATTTCTGAACAGCAAGATGTTAAAAAATCAGCACACTGATTGAGCGATTCAAAAAAAACTTTTTTGCTTGGTGCTAGGAAATAAAAAAACTGGTTCCCTCAGTGCTGAAAATATTTCTCTTTTTTTCCCATAGTTTATTACCTTATTTTGTCAGGTGATTCTTCCTGGAATTTAATCAAAATCCTTTTTTTTAATTCTATCCTGCTCTTTTATGTCTTATCTTCTAGAATGGCAGAGAACCAGGGCTGGGTTCCTATACCGGTTGGTACCAGTTTGCTTCACATACGCGCCAGCCATGCATTCCTAGCGCATGCACAGTTGACTGTAAATTGTCCTGCGCATGCACAGAAACATGCTGGCAATGGTAGAAAAGACCGGGAAACTGGTTCAGGGCGTGGCCAGCCTAGGGTGCTGCCGGTTCTGCGACCCAGGCCAAATTACCACGACAGGTTTGCCTGAACCGGTGCAAACTGATAGAAACCCACCTCTGCAGAGAATTATCTAGCTATAGTTTCAGAAGGTGAGTTTTACATCATTTTAATAGCTTTCCCCCCAAGCTAACATCCTTCAACTTTTCTTTACAGTGTACAGTGTGCAGGCTATGCATCTTCTCTTTTCTCTTCTTCTGGACATGTTCTAGCCTGTCAACATCTTACTTAAATCACAGTGTTGAAAATTAGATATAAAAGTAACAGAATAGTCTTGCTGGATTTGGCCAGAACATAATTCTGTCCAAAGAAAGCAACACCCAGAAGTACTCAGGAAGGCAATAGCCCCCATGACAATCTTCCAGAACAGGCCTTGGCCAAAACAGAAGACTGATGCAAATATAAAGTTTTATTGCTGAATACTCATATTTAACTATCGGCAGAGCCGTAAATATAATTGCAATGAACAGTAATAATTTTAAAGAAAAGCTCTATTAGCTCAAAGACTGCTTCAATGCCACAATGTTTCCTGTGCTTGTTTTACTAGCTTGGTTGTAGTTCCTAATTAAGAATATATACAACATTTTAATGTCTCGGAGGAAAACCCGTATCGGTTTAATCAGAATATTACCTCAATTTCCTGGAAGGAACTATTAATCATTGCGATAAGCATGTTCAACAAAACAATAACCATGGTGACATTATAAACACCATAAAGGACATAGCCAATATTTTCAATAAATTTGTGGTTATAATTTATGACCACAGATTTTACTTCAGAAAGTCCAAATATTGCCCAGAACAAAGTCTTGAAGCTTTCTTCCACTCTGGAAAAAAAAAAAGAATAAAAAGAAGCATGAACAAATCTTGCAAAAAGATCTAGAAAAACATGAACTGCAGTAGCAGCAACCTGCCAATCTTTAATTAATAATACTTGAAAAGATAGCATGCCATGGGTGGTGTTTGCAAGATATGCATTGTATATTTGTACAGGTAGTCCTCCACTTATGAGCACAAATAAGGCCAACATTTCCGTTGCTAAGTGGGGCATTTGTTACGTGAGTTTTGCTCCATTTTACAACTTTTCTTGCTACAGTTGTTAAGTGAATCACTGCAGTCGTAACACGGTTGAGTGAAACTGGCTTCCCCATTAGCTTCCCTTGTCAGAAGGTTGCAAAAGGTGACACTGCAAACCATCATGAATATGAGCCAAGTTCAAACCATCTAAATTTTGATTACATGACCATGGGGACGCTGCACTGGTCATAAGAGTGAAAAACGCTGCACTGGTCATAAGTCACTTTTTTTCAGTGCCATTGTAACTTCAAAGGATCACTAAATGAACTCTTGTAAGTCAGGGACTACCTGTATATCGAAAATTGCAAGATGAAGGTGCATTGTCTCAATCAAAAACCTACCTGCTTCTACTATAACAATGCCATGCTCACATTCAAAGATGGTGTGACATCATACCTATCATCTTGCATTTATGACTCATCTTTGTGAATACACACAAATATCACAACAAATTGGATGTGTCAAATTTTCCAACTTTCAATTTCCAAACATTAGGGGTGCCCAAAAGTTGTGACATGCCTTGGGGATTGTAAAAGTATTTTGGTTACTTTAATAGAATTTAGATGTGCTTGATAAGTAACTACATAAATATCATAACTTTTTAATATTTTGTTTCTTTCATTTGATAATATATTAAACTTCTAGGCCTCAAAGATTCTGGGTGGATCACAGCAATAAAAAAATTACAATAACATAAAGATCAAATTTTTAAGTGAGACATGATCAGATGTTGCTAGAAAAAAATAGGAAAAATGCAATTACTTTGGCAAGTCAAAAGTAGAAATGTTTCTAATCGTCTCCCCCACCCCACACTTCTTTTAAATATTATCGCCTTCCTTTTTTCTACATGTTTGCATTTTCTTAGCGTGTTTGAAAGAAATGAGCATGCTCTGGCATAATCTGATTTGGACATTTTCTTAATATCCTTTTACATATTAACAGCAATCTCAACTATTTTGAGTGTTGGTCCTGATGAAACTACAACAATGCTATGCACACACACACACACACACACACACACACACA